AAATATAATTCCCCCTCTCAACAATTCTGGAAGCTGAATACGCCTTGAGGTCATCAAGCCTTTAAGGCTATAAAAAGGCCCCACCTCCGCGCCAATAATGCAAAAGGCTTGTAGAAGATGGCCCATTGCTAGTCCAGTGTTTCCCAATCCTGGTCCTAGAGGCACACTACGCTGCACGTTTTAGTGCTTTTCTTTCTTTAGCACCCACTTCTACTCCGTAAAGGGCTGTTAATGATCTGATTAGTTGGATCAGGTGTGTTGGGAAACACTCAGCTAGGCTACTCTAATGAAAAGGCCTGATGAAAAAGACTTCGATTGACGACGAAATTGAAAACAGCTGTCAACCTAACACGCTCAAAAATGACATTTTTATCCCAAATCAAGTGCTGTAGATTACCACCACAATATAGATGTGTTCATAAGAAACAGCGAGAGACAAGTGCGTAACATGTAACGTTATATCACACGTTCTAAATAATGTCTAGCGTACATATAACACAAGTTAATGACATCAAATCTAACAGCGGAGACGTGTACGGGCAGAGAAAATCCTCTCTCTGCACTGAGCCTCATCTGCCTCAGCACGGTTACTATGGTAACAGATGAGAACAGGGCTGAAACAGGCTCGGGGTGGAAAAAAAATAAGACGTGAAATGTCAAAAAAGATAATACAAAAAATATATACCCATTTTGAAATAGGCAGTCCTTATATACCGCACAGAAGAGTGCGACACGCGTGACAAACGCCTATTATACTGCCCTATTAACGTTTTTTGGACAATGGCCTAGTCTGTGTAGCTAATGCTAAGCCACTTCCTGCTAACCTAGATATGTAAACAGCCGAATGAAACCAGTCTACACGTCCTTTTTGGAGAGCAAAATGGCTAATTCGCGCCTCGACACGGCTAAACAGCAGCTAATAATGTCGGATGACTTACTTGTTGGTGTTTTTTGTGGCCGTCAGCGCGCCGCTGAGTCCATGTTCTCCGTGCACGCCGGTTTGATGGAGCTCCGGTTAGAGCAGCAGCGGGGCTACTGCAGCAGCGGGCACGCGCCTGTGTCCTCAGCAACACGAACACACAGGCCCCAAAGTCCGAATACAGCACACAGCGGAGGACGAGCTGCTCCGAAAACGACTTATACGTCTGAAGGATTTAGGAAAAGCGTCAGTATAGGTTTTATAACACTAGCCCGAACCTGTTCTAAGATATAAAATAAGATAAAGTATTTCTCCGTATGAATAAAGTAATAATATGTTCATTTATCTAGGTATTTTTCCTCATTGAACTACATTGTTAATACGTTCATGTATATGAAACATGTTGAGTGATATGAGTGTCTCCAGCGTACACGACTTGCTCGTTTATGAAAAAAATGCATGACTTCCTTGAATTGTAATGAAAATATTGTAAAAAGTTATAGCATATACAGTACGTTAATGAATTTTAAACCATTATACAGCATAAATTGTGCCCTGCTAATGTGAGACATAGGTAGGTTTACCATCATGATAATAATAAAGAAGAGTGGCTGAATGTAAAAATGATAAATCATTTTACAACGTTTTGGTGTAGGTGTGTCACACATTTAGGGAAACAGCAAAGCACGATACACACACACACACACACACACACACACACACAGTGTGTGTGTGTGTGTGTGTGTGTGTGTGTGTGTGTGTGTGTGTGTGTGGTCAGGACCCCCATGGACCCTCACAGAGAAGGTACTGTTTGGGTGGTGGATCATTCTCAGCAATGCAGTAACACTAACGTGGTGGTGGAGTGTTAGCGTGTGTTGTGCTGGTACGAGTGGATCAGACACAGCAGTGCTGCTGGAGTTTTTAAACACTGTGTCTACTCACTGTCCACTCTATTAGACACTCCTACCTTGCCAGTCCACCCTGTAGATGTAAACAGGATGATGTTGGCTGGATATTTTTGGTTGGTGAACTATTCTCAGTCCAGCAGTGACACTAAGGTGTTTAAAAACTCCAGCAGCACTGCTGTGTCTGATCCACTCAGACCAGCGCAACACACACTAACACACCACCACCACGACAGTGTTACTGCAGTGCTCAGAGTGATCCGCCACCCAAATAATACCTGCTCTGTGAGGGTCCATGGGGGTCGTGATCACTGAAGAACAGGGTAAAAAGGGGGCTAACAAAGTATACAGAGAAACAGATGGACTACAGTCTGTAATTGTAGAACTACAAAGTGCGCTATATAGTAAGTGGAGCTGATAAAATGGACAATGAGCGTAGATACAAGGAGGTGGTCATAATGTTATGCCTGATCGGTGTATATACATATAGAGAGACAGAAACCCTGAGTCCTGTGTTGAGATCTGGCCACTGCGAAGGCCATAGCATATGATATACATCATTTTCATACTCATCAAACCATTCCGTGACCCCTCATTTCCTGCATTTGGCCGCACTGTCATACTGCATGAGACTGCTCCCACCAAGATAGCAATATTTTATCATAGAATAAGGGTGATTAGTCACTTCATATCGCCAACCACAGTATAACAAACCTACCAGACCCCCTCACTTTAGGGGTCAATCACTGAGGCCCGTACTGTTCTTTTGGAGTATGCCACACATGCACTCCCCACCTATGGAGAATATGATGAAGGATGATTCTCAAATATGCATTCGTTTTTGTAATGAGAGGTTTATGCACTGCAGTCCTACTATAATATACCTGTCATTGCCCCCACAAATACATCGCACCCCTAGCAAACATGAGAAAAATGGGTTATAAAGTCTTCTTTAAAGATTCTTTTTTGCTTATCCTTTTCATTTTTCATTCAAAATATTAATACAAATCTAACCTTTATCAGAAGTACAATGATTGAAGATAAAAGCTAAATATTATCATGAAAGATATTTTTCTCAAATCTACACACTTGAAAAATGGTTCTTCAAGGGTTCTTTACTAAAGAAAATTATTCTATATAGAACCTTGAGCACTCAGAGAACCCTTTGCATGATCACAGGGTTCTCTACATCATGAAATGGTTCTTCAGATTGATGGAGAATGTGCTGAAGATGGTTCTATATAGAACCTTTTTGAAAATGGTCTTTAGCACATTCATGTACATTTTCCATTAATCTGAAGAACACTTTCATGATGCAAAGCACCCTTCAATCACACAAAGGGTTCTTTGAGTGTTTGTGATTCTATATAGAACCATTTTCTTTACTAAAGAACCTTCAAAGAACCATCTTTTTTAAAAGTGTGGTTCCCTTACACTACACCTATAACTGCATACTACTACTAACACAAACTATATTAATGAATGAATGGACTTCTAATGGTGGCGTGCTAGTTTTTGCATTCTAATTAAAACGGTAGTATGTGGTTTTAGATGCAGCATTAGTCATCCATCACTATGAAAAAGACCAGAGAATACAGCAACGATGTACAACAAGAGGTTGTTGAGCTGCACAAATCAGGAAACGGCTACAAGAAAATAGATAAAACAGTGAAGAAGCCTTTTTCTACTATCAGGGCAATAATTAAGCAGTTTAAAACAACTGCAAATGTTAATAATCCGCCGCAAAGAGGACGCATGTCTATACTGACCCCACGCACAGTGAGGAGGATGATTTGAGTGGCCGAAGAATCTCTGAGGATCACAGCTGGGGAATTGAAGACACTAATTAGGTCCTGGGGGCAGAACGTCTCTCAATCTACAATCAGATACCACCTACATAACCACAAGTTGTTTGGAAGTGTTGTCAGCAGAAAGCCTCTGCTGTCAAGTACCAACGAACTCAGGCGCCTACAGCTTACCAGAGGTTACTGGAACTTTCAGTGGGACTGTGTTCGACAGTCAGATGAGACCAAAACAGAGCTTTTTTGGCAACAAACAACAAAGGTGAGTTTGGTGTAGACATAAAGAGTATGCAAAAGTACTTCATTCCCACTGTGAAATATGGTGGTGGATCCATGATGTTGTGGGGCATTTTTCTTCCAACTTGTTCGGATGCATGGTATCATGGACTCCAACATGTACCAGCAGATGTTAAATCAAAAACTGACTGCCTCAGCCAAAAAGATTAAACTAGCCTGAGCTTGGATCTTCCAGCAAGACAATGATCCAAAATCAACACAGAATGGTAGAATTAAGGCTTTGCTATGGTCATCCTTGTTCCCTGACCTAAACCCTGGAGAAAACCTGTGAAATGAGCTGAAGAGGAGAGTCCACAAGCAAAGCCATGTGTTCTACAGTCTCATTAAGTATGAGAGGAGAAGACTCAGAGCTTTGAAGCTTTTTCAGAAGTTTGATCACATCCTGCATTGACATTGTCGGTCATCTGAGGAACAGCTGCTCTTCTGTTTTTCCTTACATATCACACATTACAACAATCTGCAAACAATAAACGAAGAATTGCGTCCCAGGAATGAAATTTTGCAATTCCTAACTGTACTGTAACATTCTATTATGTTCTTCTCTCTTTTACCAGCAAATATTATTATAGTAGACATTATGGAAATTATGGTGCATATAGGTTTCATTCACAGTAAGTACAGGAATTAATCAGCAATGTTATTTTATCAACATTTCTTATATTATTACAGTGCTTATTATGTGCACATACTGTAATTGATATGTAACAGTAATTATGTTAGTTCTTGTTGTTTTTGAATGGAGCATATGAATAAATCTCCAGCAAAAGCAATCACATTCTTAATGTGTGTGTTATAATAATCTTGATAAGACTTTCACTTGTATGCCATATTTGATAACTTATGTAGAACAATATTTGTTATTTACTCATAACTGTCAACCTGTTGTTCTTGTTTTACCACAGCATGCTGACTAAATCACACAGCACAAATAAAGACAGATGCATGAAGAAAGCGTACAAGGGGAGAGGTCATAGCAAAATCATCTGTACAAACAACTGTTTCAAATTATGTCTTTCACTAGTGACTAAGTTTTCCTTTTTGGCAAGTTAGCTCTCAGTCCAGCTCCTGCCTCTGTAGCAAGAGTCAAAACTAATCAAAGGCACTTGCATGTAGAGCGCTATTGGCCTCCGAAGAGCTTGAGCCGGTTTTGGCCAGCCCGCTCTCCCTCTGTTTGGGAAAGTGGAAATTCCTGAAGGCATTTCACTTCAGGTTTCGTGTGGGGATCTAAACATGAATGCAGAGGCTTTGGTGAACTCCATCTTAGTTTCTTTACTTCTAATTTTGCTCACAGCCCTTGAGGAAAGTTTACTGCAGTCACTGAGGTGAGTTAAGGTACTTTGTTTTTCTCATCAGTGTGACTTTTTTTCCTGAATGCCGCTGACATGCAAGGTTTTGGGATTGTGGAAAAAATGTTTGAGGAGCTGCTGAATTTGCGGCATTTTATACAGAATCCTTTACCTTTTTCTTGTCCGTTTTAGATATGTGAAACCTTTAGATATGTGAAATGTTTTCTTGACTCTAGTTTGTTAATTTTTTCCCCACAACAATTACATTTTGTCTTTAAGCTGCAGTCAAATGTGCCACTGAAACGACTTGCACTTATAGAACCATGTCGAACCTTTCAAGCACTTCTTTTGTGGTTTGGCAAAATTCCATGAGTGCATTTTTTCATTTGTGCTACAGACGGTACATATAGTGTTTTTCTTCCCTTGCAAATTGAAAAAGCGTTCCTACTTAGTGGCAGAGCCGTTGACATTTTTACACTTTCAACTGTCTCCGAGGAACTAATGGACCATTTCTAAATGTACTGTGTGGGAAGGTGAGTTTTGCACTATTAGCTTTATGCACTTAGAAGAGCGTGCCGCAGAGACGCGCTGGATGAAGGGAGGGATAAAGGAGAGCAGTACATTACCTTTGGTGTTTTATTCATAACAGGTGCACATTGGCACAAACTAAACAGCTCCTTTAATGACAGTCAACCAATACACAATTTTAAATCATGCTTGAGAGGCACTGAGAATGGAAACTGAGTTGGATTAGGTTAATGATTTAAGTTTAACTGAGATTTTCAATAATACTTCTTATTAGGCCTATCAAAGTCCAAATGACACTGCACCAAATCTGCATTGCATGGTCCCTGCAAAGATGTAATATGCTTGATCTTTGTAGCATTAAATTCTGGACATGGTTTGTTCTTAGGAGCAATTTGCTATCTTACTGATATAAAAATGGTCAACTGATATAGAAAAAGAGCCAAATGTAATGTTCAAAATGTACCAGATCTTCACTGGGAATATTTCACGTTTAAAAATTGTAAACAGTGTAATGCTGCCCATTACTTGTTTTGAACACATTAAGCTTTGGCGTAACTGCATGGCTAGTCCATCCCAAGCTGTTATTTGAGTTTATGGTTGAGGGCAACACTAACGCTTAACCACTACCTAGCTAGCTAAGCCATTGTGTCCAGTATCCAAGGACATGAGCAGAATGCTAACATTCAATACAGAAAACAAAAGCAAAGTTTCTGGAGAACAAGAGTTGAAAATGCATGTGGCATTGACTAGCAGCCCCTCCTCAGACTGTTATTTTGGTTTGCTACCACTGGTTTCCACAGACTCATGGGCTGCTCATTGCGCAGCTACCACTGGTCATGTAGACTAGTGCCCTGTTTACAAGCTAGCTACTTTCTTGGGCTGATTACAGCTGGTTACCTACAGCAGAATTCTTGCCAGAATGACTTTACAATAACGCTAATCAAAGCCATTAAGGCATACCATCATTGACCCATCAGTAGATGAGCATTAAAAAAATAGACTCCATTAAAGGGGAATTCCACTGATTATTTTTAAATGTATGCATAATTAAATAATTAAAAAGCAAATAAAGTCATTCAAAGTGTTTTGATGTGAAATGGTCCATTCTAGATAAACTTGCCAAGTCAGAATTGTTCACATTGTTGGTGATAGAAACCAGACGCCTGAAGAGCTCTAAAAGCTCCCTTACTGGAAGTTATTAAACAAAATGATTAGGAATATGCTACTTGATGCCTGAGACATCATAATTTTGTGATGAAGTTTTGGTCTATAAAGCATTTAGCATTCAAGACAGAGAAGTACATTTTGCCATTGTAAGGCAAAATAGTATACAAAGAAAATGTATATTTTCAGATTTACCACAATTTTAAAAAGATCAGCATTGTATGTAAAAACGTAGAAGACACATGTAGGTTCACTGGTCATTTTGGAAAGTAAATAAAATGGCTATACTTGTGTTGTAGACATCACAACCTATGGTTCCTATCACCATCACTGTAAAGAAATCTGGTAAGGTTTTCATGGTAAGGTGGTAAGTTTCTCTACAATGAACCATTTTACATCAAACTACTCTAAATGATTTTGTTTGCATTTCAGTGACTGAATTATGCAGAAAATCTTTTTATAAAAATCAGTGGAATTCCCCTTTAAGCTGTTACCATACAGCTAGTTGTTGTTGTTCCGCATGGAGAGTGCCATGTGGACATCTTAGCACACCTAAACCTCTACCAAGGACTGACTGTTGCAGAGTTATAGCTGGTCTCCTATAGTTCACATGCCCTAACTCAGAACTTAATCGCTACTGTTTAGCTTCGACATGAGGCTTAAAGGTTGGCGGTACCATATTTTCAAAACAACACTTATTCTGGGATCCAGTGACAGTTTTGTGGGGCAACCACTTCGTCACTGGCCCCCAGTGTATTTTGACCTAAAGGTTACAGATGTTACAGATCTGGTCAAGGCCAGGGCCCCCTGACCGAGACCATTCCCTCTGCAACAGAAGCAGCATTGAAGAAGTAGATTCAGTTCAGCTCCAAAAAGGATTTAACTTTTTTTTTTTTTAATCCTGTACATGGAAGGTTTGGTCCCATAGCAGATATCTGCAGACTCAACTAAAAGACCTAATGTAACCTAAACACTTGTTTTTCAAGCTATGCTTCCAGGTGACTAAATGACATATATTTTGCCTTCCAAGGTCACGCATATAGGCACAAAAGTTTGCCTTCAACCCATTGCTAGTCCCAAGAGTATTCACTACATGTGTAGAGGCTGCATTCAGGCCATTCAAAGCAAAAGGTGTCAATATTCTCTCTTATCTGGACAATTATCTCACATGCACCTCAACAGAGAACCTAACTGTGACAGAAACTGGCTCATTTGGCTGTCAAGTCCATCTCTAGACATATGCCCCAGGATGGCCTCGCTGACACCAACACATACTTGAGTCATTCTAAGCCTCCTTTCACACATTGGTGGGCAGCTGCTTGACATTCCTTACTCTTCTGTGTTTATTGAGTATAAAGACTCCAGCTTCAGTGGTCATTCTCTTGGACCTACTGCAGCTTCATTGGTTCCAGATGTGCACAGCTTACACCTGGATCCAGTAAAGCACAAACACATCATGATGATGGTTTCTCGTCAGTGAACAGTAGACTGGGTGTTCTGGAGGCAAAAATATTTCGCCTCATCAATGCACCTCTGAGACTGATCACCTCTCACAAAGTCAGGCCATCTGTGGTTCTCTCAGCTGAATTGTCGCAGCCCTTTAGGCCTCAGTGCTTTGGTGCTGGCCATATTGGCTGCTTTTTGCTTTCCCTCCTTTCACCCTAATCTATTACACACTTGATCCATCACTGGATTTTTTGCTAAATTCAGTGGGTGGGTAGCTATGCTCATAAAGCAGTTCAATGCTGCGTTTACATTAAGACGGTGGATGGTTGACGATGAACCAGACATACCACTCCTTCACTGAAGCAGTGAAAAAACACAGCCAGCAACTGCAGTGCAATAAATCATTGTTATTGTTGAAGTCCATGTTCATCCAGTATTATATAACAAATGTCCCACTACGATGGGCGGCACAGTGGATAGCACAGTCACCTGATAGCAAGAAGCGTCTGGGTTTGATTCCCCAGCAGGGTAACCAGGCAACTCTGTGTGGAGTTTGCATGTTCTCACCTCGTCAGCATCGGTTCCCTCCCACAGTCCAAAGACATGCAGTCAGGCTGATTGGATACACTACATTGACCCTAGGTGTGATTGTGTCTGCCTGGTGACCTGTCTAAGGTGTTTCCTGCCCTTTGCTCAATGACTGCTGCAACACGCACCAGCCCTCCCCTGCAACCCAGAAGGATAAGCGGCTTAGACAGTGTGTGTGTGACTGCTATAAGGGACGGAACAATATTTGTTTCAGTGACGATATGTAAATGCAGCATAAGGTAAATAGATGTCAGTTAAGCTATAGAGCATAATCTTCTCAGTTATCATGTTGCTGTGCTGCCTAGTGCCTAAATCTGTCACCAACAGTGCACCTTTCCCAAACAACCATGATACAGTTCTTAACCACTCGAACCAATTCTTTATTTACAAACTTCATAGGAAATGCTAACTTATGAAAATCGATTATTTTCCTGGTCAGACAACCAAAATCCAGCACCATCCAGGAAAATCCTGGCAACTCAAGTTCATACTGATATATTTGAGATTAAACCAAAGGATGTAAACAGTCAAACAAAAGTCAAACAAAAGTCACCTAAATTTAAACAGCATCATAAATTCATCTGCTGGGTGTACCATAGAAGGCACACATGTATGAATTCATCCTAAATGAGCTAAACACAGTTCAGTTAATGTGAACCTGAAAGAGAAGCAGCTGCTTTTCATTTTCACAGTCACCAAACTCAGTTCTCTTTCTGCTCACATTTAGCTTTGATGAGATCTCATACTACAAGTCCTTTAGAGCTGCAGCACAGTTCTATTGCGAACTCCGTGTTCTCCAGCTCCCAAAATCCAGATAGTTCTCTAAAATCTGATTAGCTGAGCTATGTTCAAAGCTATTTTAAAATGCTCGATATGCACACATATAACTGCACACGTCAGCTGAATTCTGTTTTAATGTGCCAAGTTATTAAAAATCTTTAAAAACAGTACAATTGCTCATAGAATTATCTTTGACTGTTTTGTGACAATAGTCTACTATTAATAAACTACATTGCTTGGACAAAGAATTGTTTATTATGATTTTTAGTATAATAAAATTCATTTCTGAACATTGGTTTATTCTTTGATATTTTGTCCCTGTTTAGCCACAAGAGGAAATGTGATGCAGTGATCTTACTACAGTTGAACTATAATCCATCATGCCTCACTTCTTCTTCGCAGCTTAACGTGGGGAAAAAATCTCCGTAACACACAACCTATATGGCTAAGTGCTTTAACATAGCAGTGCTGAGGTCGCTTTGTGAGATCACAAAACCACACGGGTACCCTTTCTCTCAGGCACTTTGTTT